TTATCCAATAATTTTTCAAGAAAAAATTTATTCAATATTAAAAATATACTTATATATATCCAGAAATATCTTTATCTATAAATTATCATTTATTTACTTAATAAATCGAAAAATAATATTATATATACTATGAAAATCTAACCAATATTCTTATATCTTGAAATAAATATATTTCAATCTTAAATATATCAGAAACTATTTTATTCAGAAATAATTTTCGATTTTATTTCGCACCAAAGCGAGTAATAATCTCCGAATCATTCTTTATAATCGATAAATTATTATATAATTCGTAATTTAGAATAGAATTTTCAAATTTACATGATATATTATTTCTACTTTTCAATTTATCTTTATATAATTGAATTTAAGTTTCATAATTCATTTGCTCATGCCCTTTCAAGTTCTGAATTAATGTAAAATCTACTGAATCTGTTTATACTACTGAAGTCCTTATCGAAAATATTTCTGATTCAATTTTCCGAAATCCACTGTGATTTATTATCAAAATTCAATGCTTCTTCATTCGTGATAGTACCAGCGGCAAAACTTACTATCACTGACTGGTGTATCATGCCAACGCAAATAATAACGAAGATCGAATTCGCCACAAATCTCTGAGACAGTGAGTGGGGTTGCCATCCACCAAATCTTATACCCCATGCTTGCCACTCTAGTAATTTCAAGGTACGTCATTTCACCAAACCCGAACCGGGTACTCAGGCCTTTTGGATCTGTAAAGCCCTCACCTGCAGTTCCTAGTTATTGGATGGACATGTCACAAGGTTCTTTCTTGAACTCAATTCTGTAAAGTCACGATCATCGCTCTGTATTGAAGTGTGGCGAAACTAATCCTGTTCCTGAGCAGACATCCGTAAAGATATTGGCTGGCCAGTAGTATCTTGCCTTTGTGGTTCCTGTACTTGGTGCGGAGCAAGCACAAACAATACTTCATGGTAGCAGTTTGCTGTGAAGTGGCCATGTTGGTAGAGGATGGTGGCAATATTTGGTTGTAGCGTTATGCTCGCGGCGAGTTCGTTTAGATAATCTCACAAGGCTGTTTTCAGTATTTGGTGTATATAGGTCCTTCGCCTGGAAGGATTTGTTAAAGTAAGCGTGGTAGAGCTGCGGCCAATGCTGATCAGGATTAGTAAACAGTGGAGAGTGCAACACTCGCCAATACTCGATAGTGCTCTTTCGGATTGAGCGGCAGCTTGACTTCTGTTCATTTCCAACGTGGGTAACCTCACGGCATGACGAAACAGGTAGAACCATCTTCAGATGCTTGATGATGACCGCAATGTGGTGATGAACCGATGGTGAGATCAAACTGCGGATGATGATTATGATGGCCGTTGTGATCAGACTCGAGCATTTCGTCATTGTGATCATGACATGCATGACGATCATGATGGTATCATCAGCATGGTCCCAAGTCCCAACTGCAGAATAGTGATAGTGGAAGTTGTGCTGACTATGCCGTGCGCACCTGCTTTTGTCACAGGCTCTGCAACCGATGACCCGGCCCATGAAGGACCTCTGCTGCGGGGGTGGCAGGCAGCGTCGGGTTTGATAAGCTCGGGTAACTGGGGTATGGCCTGAAGTTCTTAACTTCCTCTTGTTGCGTCGAAGCCCGGAGAGTGGAATCTTGACTCCGCAAAGACCCTTGGTTTCGAGTTGGAGTTGCCTTAAACCCCAAGCTGGTGATTCGGCTTGATCAGTACACCTGAGCCGGACAACCACAATCCCTCGGCGGCATCGGGCTTTGGAAAATGCTGCCTGGAAGTGTCGCCGCTTTCTTCTGAAAAACCCTCGACCCAAAACTTGAACCCTAAGCACTTGGCCTCGTTCGCGTTGAGGTGTCGATTTACATCGTACCGTCCGGACTGGCACGACACAGCGAATCAGGAATCGGGTTGGGATACAGGCCGGGAGTATCGGTGCGGCAAAACTGGAGAAGAACAGATTGCTCCCCGAAAGCAGGTCGGGGACACAGGGTGAAGGCGGGCTTGGAGATGCTCCTCATCTGGGATATCCATCATGCCGGGGTCATCCAGCCTTGATGGCGCTTTCCACTGTGCTATCGTGAACCTTGAGCTGCAAATTGCTCCCAAAACCTGTAAGCCGCTACTCCCTAAAGTCTAAATCCTGCAAGCACCCCATTTCTAAGCCGAGCTTCTTATCCAAAGATGTGAAAACAAAAACCGAGAGAGGCAGCTGTCAAAGATAGGCTAGCTGTTGAATAGTTTAAAGTTCAGCTTTCAGGGGGTGCTTGGTCCAAGCCCATGTTCAAGACGTGCGTCAGTGAGACTGTACAAACCCCCCGAGAGTGAGACACGTATCGGACGACGGACCCTCAACATACCTTCAAGTCCTAAGCATGCGTAGCACACCCAGGTTCGAGCTGAGGGGACGACGGCACATCCCAGTCCTCTGGAGTTGGCCGTGCAATCTTGACCAGGTATGATGGCTGTGTCACTGCATTCAGCTCGGAATCATCGGTGCTTCAGCTGTCGAACTTCTACAACTGCAAACATTACAACGCCAGCATACCAAAGCCTGCCGAACCACCTAGTCCCTAAACATCCCTAAACCTCATTGTTCCGGACCAAGCCCGCGACATCTGTGACCACAAGATAAGGCAGAAGCATGTGCGCAGAAACGTTCACTGATCAACTCTCTTCGGCGTTGACTTCAACGAGTGACAAACCCAGGCTTCGGCTGTGATCCCGACTTTCGGCGCTCGGTCTCTGACAGTCCTCCTCGGCTGGTGGCGCAGTTTCCCTAGGTTCCGGCGCCTCCAGCCCACCCGTCTCGCTGCAATGAGACTCAGGGGCCGCATCAGCCTCAATGCTCAGAAGGCTCGGGGGGCTTCCTAGTCCGGAATATACATTCGCATCGTACGGTCGTCCTAGGGCCCGTGCAACAAGCCCGAAATTCCGAAAACCAAAAACCACATGTTTCAGGGTAGTTTCGATAACCTTGCCGGGTCTTCGAGTCTTGGAGACACAGCAAATCCATTGCAAGTCAGGGCTGAAGGCCAAGTGATAAACCAGGACCTCTCTCCAAGGCCAGGGTGTTCCGGACCTCGAACTTCGCGACCTATGCTATTGGAAGCCGAAAGCCTTGAAGCACGAGCCGGGAATGCGCACTTGTGACAGCGTTGAGCGTTAGAAAGACGACATCAAACAACAACGCAGAAGTTGCGAAGCATCCGCAGGACTGCTCCAAGCATATTCTCAAGACCTTCACGATAAACATCGGCGTACAGCTTTCGCTCAACGCCTCAATGCTGGCGCACTGGAAAACATCTTAAACAAAAAGAAATCTAACCCCAAGCCCGACCAAAAGTCACAGAGAAAGGCGTCTACAAGGCTTTTTCGGAAGCGGCTGCGCCATCTTATGCCCGTTATTCTCGTTTGCGAACTCATATCTAAGCACAAAACATAATTCCTTGAGATCTCGACGAAGACCGCTTCCAGTGCTTCGGCATCTTATGCCCGTTATTCTCGTTTGCGAACTCATACTTAAGCACAAAACATAATTCCTTGAGATCTCGACGAAGACCGCTTCCAGTGCTTGGTCGCTCATTTCCTTCGAAGGATGAGTCATTGCAGAGGGTTGTGCAACACTGCAGAACTTTCTTGGCTGTTGGCCTTCCATTCGTGATGAGCGAGATGCCGTTGGGCTTGCTAGAGGTTTGTGTCATGTTTTCTCGCGCTAGCTACAAGGATTTTGGAACAGCTTCTTGGGGCTTGCAGGTGTCCCAGCTTGCTACCAGAGACTGACCCTGCTTATGTCATCCACGTTTCCAAACTGAAGGCTCGGCATAGTTGCCAGATGTCAGTAGTGCTCTGAAGGCGTACTGAAGGATCGATCGACATGGAGATTACAAGGACTATAGTCTCTGTCTCTGGGATGTCATGGGCATCTTGAACGATGTGGGTTCAACACGCAGGCTTGAGCTTTAGGTTACATTTCAAATCACCATACTCAGACATCGAAGGCCCGCAAACCTGAAATGCCTCGGCTGCCGCACCCCGGCATCTCTGAGATGTTTGCATGTGCACGAGCTTAGGGAATCATGGCTGCAGAGAATGCACTGGGGAAACTCCAGACCCGAAGCCTTGGCAGCACGTCCCGATCCGAATTTTCGGGCTAAAAGCCAGACCCCAGTAGTAGGATCCTAATTACCAGAACCCGGATCTAGATTTTGGCAGCAGCATGAGCCCTATGAGCCCCTCATCCAGGATTCCATCCCCGAGCAGCCCAGAGCGCAAACTCCAAACTTAGAAATACTAGGAACAGAGATCCCTAAACCCCAAACCAAGGTTCGAGACATTCCAACAGTGATTAGCGAACTGAACAAAGCCTCGGCGATCATGGCGAAGATCTCGTCATGACCAGCCTCTTATTATTCTTCAAAAGAGGTGGGGCTCTTGTGTGAGAGGTCCCTCGAACAAAGAGAAACCTTTTTGGCTTTCTTCCTTCGGAGCTGAAGTGCAGTTGGGGGTGAAAACTTACGGTGTCTTGAAACTTGAAGCAATGTATAACATTTCGGCTGCCTTATGGGATCTCTCAAGAGGCTGCTGGCTAGCTACAGCTGCAGGATTCATCCTGTGCAGCAAATTGGTTGTCAAAGGCAAGGCCGGGACTCGGATGCGTGGGAAAGCGCAAGTTGGCAATCGAGGCTAGCGTGAGTTCCATTCGAAGCTGCCTGTTCGTCGGGCTGGGGCACTTAGCGCATGAAAGCTCGCAGAGTAACAGCCTTTGCAACAGCACTGCTTGAGGGCTCAGGGCATTTCAACGCTGTGTTTGTCTTGGCAGGCCTGGCCGGTGTTCTTGTGTTCACTGTGGGGTCGCCAACCCATTATGAAACAAAGCAACCAAAGCACAACTCAACGACCTTGTTTTCAGAGGACACATGGCAAACGCCGTTGGTGTAGACACTTGTTGCTTCGGATACTGCGCACCTCGTTGGCCAAAGCCGCGGCCATGCGGCCAGAGCAGTCTATGGCCTTCCGCGCTCCCATTTACGGTCCGATGTGGTTTCGGGTCCAAGAGTCTACGGGGTCATCTTTGACAGTTGTATCGACGAAATTAGACGTGGCCGAACCCCGAATTCTCACATTTGAAAACCTAAGTTTTCGGCACGAAACTTTAAATCCTCAAGTCCTCAACCGGCAGCGAAGACAAACCTTTAATTTCGCTCATTTTCGGTGAACAATTTATCTATTCCTGCATTCATGAGAAAACTCGGCACACATCAGGAAACGCCAAATAAAGCAAAACTCAAACTTGGATTTCGACCCGAGGTTATACACTCCCACGTGGAGACGAAGGGCAAACAGAATTTCGCTATTTTTCGGTGCGAGTTGCACACGTTTTCCCTACATCCCGTTAGAAAGGACATATAAGCAGTTAATAGCCAAGATAAATATTAGGATTTTGACGCGAAATCTCACTTTCCATGCGAAAACGAAAAACCACTCGGAACTTGTTTATGCTTTGCTCTTGTTTTGTGATTCAGACTCTGCCGAATCTTAAACTATTCCTATGTCTCCTCCCAAAGATCCATATTTCAATCTTCTCAGGCGTATCGAGACATCATACGTAAACAAGGGGTTGCCCGTGGACACTTTGCCGAAAGGCTCTGCACCGCAGGTGCTGCTGCAACTGAATAGACTAGGATCGCATCAGCCTGCGAGGTGCCCCTGCAGTTGCGCACTGATCAGCTTTCCTCCTGACCGTGCCTTGTCTGACACCGTTGTGAAGCCACAGCAATTTGGCCGAATAACCACAAACGAAGCACGAATCATCTGCGAACTTGAATGCTTGTAGAAGCTAAACCAGTGGTAAAACAGCCACCCAGGAATGAAAGTCAGTGGCGGACCCATGTCGAGGCTATTCTGGAACCCTGGCCCTCGACGCCAGCGCACCCCTAGAACACATACCACCCACACTCGCCGCACACCTGAAGCCAACCTACAGACGTCAACCTTACAGCTCCTAGGTCCATGTGTCCACAAACCCAAAAAGGGATCTTTTTGCAGCGGGCTTGCCTCGTCGCCCGGAAGCTCCCTCTGCCCAGAAAGTGTGTCCAAGCAGAGACGAACCCTCGAAACCCCTCCTACACTCCGAACTCCCAATCCTTGAAGCCCTAACGCCCAAGGCCTAAAGCTTTAAACCGTCGTTAGTCACACTCTTAGAAGAGCCCCGCAGCAAGCTCTTGTAGGATCTAAGTTGGATGTGAAAGAACGGTGGCTTCGCCTCGACTCGCGCGTCGGCCTGGCGGGCAAATCGGTTGACCGGTGCCACTACTCTTAATGCTACTGCCTATTTCTAGCACTCACTCAGTAGTATCAACAGTACCACTCTACTCCTCAACGTAGCAGTAGCAGTGGCAGTGGCAGTGGCAGTGGCAGTAGCAGTAGTAGTAGTAGTAGTAGTAGTAGTAGTAGCAGTAGTAGTAGCAGCAGCAGCCGCAGCAGCAGCAGGAGGAGGAGGAGGATGAGGAGGAGTAGTAGTAGGCGCTCCCCCTACCAACTACACTTGCTTAAAACCATCTTAAGAGCACATGCGTTTTACTCGGTATTTACAGCACTTTCGTCATGTACGATCATCATAAGAGGCCTCAACTTCCACTTGCCGAGTTTGCTAACTCGGCCTCTTGATTTTGGACTTGCTGCGGGGGGGGGGGGGGGGGGGGGGGGGGGGGGGGG